GTTGCACGCATACTTGGAGCAGGAAGGGGCTGAGCCCAGGGCCAGCCCTGCTGCCCTTCCCCAGCCCCATCCACAGAGGCCCCAGGTTTCCAGCCCACTGACAGCCCCCACCCAGGGCACCTGTCACTCCCAGTGCCCACCTGGCCTCAGGCTCTCCCATCCCTCCCACCTCCAAGCCTTGAGTACCGATCCAGACCACACACCTGGTAGGGTGGGGGCAGCCACTGTTCCAAGAAGCCCCATCCATCCCCATAGAAGTCACCTGTCCCCTCCCCAGCCCTGGCACCCATGAGGCCACTTCCTGTCTCTGGATTCACCTGTCCTGGGCATTTCCTGTCATGGAGCCCATGCTGTGTGTCCTCCGTGTCTGGTGTCTCTTCCTGAACACAGAGTCCTCAAGGTCCTTCCATGATGTGGCACATGCTAGAGCCTCACCTTTTTTCCTGGGTGAGTAATATTCCAGTGTATGGGTGGAGTACATTCTTTATCCATTCTCTGGATAAAGATGGAGCAACCAAAGCTAAGGTGGAGGATGTTTTTTTTCTGTTTGTTTGCTGTCTTTTTGAGACAGGGTCTTGCTGTGTAGTTCAGGCTGGCTTTGAACTCACTTTGTAGCCCAGGCTGGCCTTGAATTTGTGGTATCCTTCCACCTCAGCCTCCCAAGTGCTAGGATGCACTATGCCTGGCCATATTTGTGGTTTTGAAACTGGAACTCTTCCAAAGGAGAGACTCTTGTGGCCCTCCCTGTGTGGATTCCCGCTGTAGAAGCCATTTGTGCAAGCTTTGCACAGCCCTGCTCCCTTGAGGCACGGTCTCCGTATGCAGTTCAGGCTGGCCTTTTATTCATTATGTAGCCCAGGTTGGCCTCGAACTCACAGTGATCCTCTGCGTCAGTTTCCCAGGTGCTGGATTATAGGCAAATGCCACCATGCCCGGCTTGTTTTTCTTTTTTTGTGTACTGATGATGAACCCAGGGCTTTGTGTATGCTCAGCAAGCACTAACCATTGAATCACATCAAGCCCTTTGATTTTGAGACAAGTCTTGCTACTTAGCTGAGGCTGGCTCAAATTTGTGACCCTCCTGCCTTAGTCTCCTGAGTAGCTGCAGTTACAGGCATGAGCCACTGTGCCCAGCCCCAATTTCTTTTTCTTTTCTTTTCTTTTTCTTCTTTTTTTTTTCTTTTCCTTTCTTTCTTTCTTTCTTTCTTTCTTTCTTTCTTTCTTTCTTTCTTTCTTTCTTTCTTTCTTTTTTTGTCTTTTTGAGATAGGGTCTCGCGATGCAGTTTAGGCTGGCCTTGAGCTCACTTTGTAGCCCAGGCTGGCCTCAAACTCACAGTGATCCTCCTGCCTCAGCCTCCTGAGTGCTGGGATTACAGGTGTGCACCACCATACCTGGCCCCCAATTTCTTTTTGTTAAATGAGAAAAACAAGTTTGAGAACAAATCAATACAATAGCTCCCTACTTTTAGGGGCTGGGCATGTGGCTCAGTGGCACAGTGCCTGCAAATGCAAGGTCCTGAGTTTGATTCCAGTCCCAAAAGAAGAAAAAAAAGTTCCCTGCTTTTGTAGGTATGACACTGGCAGACCCTAGGAGGGTGGCTATTGTGGGGTCTTTCCTGTGACTGGACAGAGATTTCATTTTTTTTTTTTTCAAAACTGGGGATTGAACCCAGGTCCTTTGCACTGAACTCTATCCCTAGCCCTTATGATCTTTATTTTGAGACAGGATGTTACCAAATCACTAAGTTCCTCAGGGCAGGTTTGAATTTGTGATCCTCCTGCTTCAGCCTCCCAGAGTATCAGGATTATAGGCATGTGCCACCACACCTGGATGGAAGTACCATTCTTTTTTTTTTTTTTTTTTTTCTGTCTCTTTGAGACAGGGTCTTGCTATGCAGTTCAGGCTGGCCTTGAGCTCACTTTGTAGCCCAGGCTGGTCTTGAACTTGCAATGATCCTCCTGCCTCAGCTTCCCAAGTGCTAGGATTGCAGGCATGCATCACATCATCTGGCTCTGGACTACCATTCCTAAAAATCTAGATAAGGGAGAAAAAAAATCCAGAGAAGGATCCAGTGGGATGTTACATCCCTATAAGCCAGTTACTCCAGAGGCTGAGGCAGGAGGA